AAAAATTATCAGAGAGTGTGGGTGGGTGGTTCCCAAAGGGATAAGAGGGCAAAAAAAAAAAAAAAAAAAAAAAAAAAAAAAAAAAAAAAGGGCTATTAGGATTACTAAAGGAACAGGAGTTAGTCAGCAGTTCTTTCTAATACATTCCTGCCAGCTTGAATCACCAGTGGTACATGCATGACTGTCCCATTGGGCACCTCGTACCACTTGGTACAAATGGATATAATCACTTTTATTGGTCATTTTACTAACAGTGTTCTTACTAACTGTCCCCAGTGGGACAGTCACATGTAGACCATGGACCATGGGTGGTACAAGGCACTGAGCAGCAAGACATGAATTACAGTCCTGTTGTGAATGTGTAAAAAGAGGATACTTAGCCATAAGAAATGTTTCCCTTGTATTTCAAGTACAGACCAGGCACAAGTGATCTAGGCATAAAATCTGGTTCTTCTTGAAAAGACTAAGGACTAAAGACTTAGAATGTGTTTACCAGAATAAGCTTTATGTTTTCAGAGCAAAGTTACTGACACTACTGCCCACTTTTCCTATTTAAGATGAAGAAAGCCACACATTTTCATTAGTAATGTTAGTAGTTTATAGCTGGTGATTTAATGTTAATATATAGCTGATAAGGTTTGTTTCTGGGTGCTGGGCAATCAAACCACACACTAGCACTAAGCTATACCTTTCAGGTCTTAGCAGGTGAATTTTTAATGCTATGCTTTTTCCTTCAAGTTATTTTGTTAGGCTTCCTCTAAATTCTCAGATCACTATGAGGCAAGCCAAATTTTAGGTATGGCTTCTAGTATTTATATATATTGCTACCATGGCTTGCTGTTGGCTGAAGGGCAATGAAGACTACTATTTCCGATTTCTAAAATAAAGGGCTGGGGAGATAGCTCAATGTAAATTACATAGTATGTGCAAGGCCGAAGATTCTATCCCCATCAACCAGTAAGACCTTTTAGCTTCTGCAGCAGCGATACCCATTCTACGGTAAAAATAGCTGTTTTTAAAGTAGCAAATAGGTTAACTTCCAATTCTAAGCAGCATGTACCTTAACTTACAGGTGTTCATTCAGTTTGTGCTGGAGACTAAAAAACAAAAGCTGACTGAAAAAACCAGAATTATCATTCTGACCTATGTGTGGAGAAAAGTCCGATTTATCACACCACTGCATTAACAGCCAGTGGCCAAGGAGCACTTAGAAAAGAGAAAGTAGTAACCATTATCTGTATTTGAAGTTTATCAACCAAATCTAAACTTGAATGTTTCCTCCTATAAATAGATGTATGTTAACAATATGGATTAAACAAGAGTGCTGCAGTGATAAATTTCAGGAGTAAGGATAAAGCAGAGTAGTTTTAGGGGCAAAGATCAGAGTCTGTTCTAGTGTAGAATTCTGGATTGCTTAAATTTTGATTGATTTGTCAGTGAACTGGTTGCCACCAAAGATTTGCTACTGTAAGAGTTTGGACTTGGAAGGTGATCTAAATCAAAAGGAACCTCCTGCTCGGACCATTGAGAGAACAGAACTCATTTTTGAGGCTGTTCAAAACTGGAGGTAGGATTCCTGAAGGCATTCACCATCTAGTGCATCACCTTAGAATGAGGTACACTTTAAAGGAACTAAAAGATAATTAATTCCAATATAAGGAAAAACATTTAATTCATAAAGTATGCTAGTAAAGATTTATCACATCACACAAATTACTCCTTACAATTTAAGGTGCAGACAAATACTAACTTAGTTGTATTTAACAAGTGGAATAGTAAAGGTAAAGGGAAGTAAAACTGTTATCAAAAATCACATGGTCAGAAGTCAGAATTACGATCCAGGAATAGCACATTACTTTTATCATGAGAACATTTTAAAGACAATATTGGAGTGTTTTGCTGAAGTAGTGCAAATCATGATTCTTACCTTAGAAATGAGACACCATTACTCTCCCTTTTTTAAGGAGTCATTTTTGATTCTCTTCATTTTTTTCAAAACTCATTCCAGGAACAAAGGTAACGTAAGGAAGTAAATGCTTTTTGAAAAATAATATAATGATTTAAAAAGTTAGAACTAAAATACAATTGTTAAAATACCTTAATAGACTTGTCATCTTCATCAACTATATCACATATAATTACATAAAAAATGATATATTAGTCAAACGTATTCTTAAAAATTTGTCAGTGGTCACTTGCATGATATTCAGTGATCTAATTTAAATACTGAGAGTATCTCCAAGAACTCAAAATACATTACATGGTTATTACATAAATCTTCAAAGCAAATCCCTTGAAACAAGAAAGGTGTCTGCAATAATCTGTAAGCCTCCTGAACTATATTACAAATTCACTGGGAGATTTGAATAAGTATTTCCCAAGAGGGTCCCATCCATAACTGTTTCTTTTTTCCTTAAGGAAATTATAATAATGAATGATAATTATCTGAGTTTAATTTCTCATATTCTTTTTTACAAAGGAAGTTAGTTATCAGCTTCAAGGTGGAACCAAGGTCTTTTAAAACAATCAATTTCAAAATGTCTAGAAACTTGGAAGTAATTAAAAATTTCAGAACAGTAGCTATAACATAAGGGTGAATAATTTTATTATTCATGTAATTTGGGAGCATGTTACAGATTATACGCATAGCTGTATATTTATATACACACATATATATAGCAACTCAAACATTTAAAAAATGAACTATTTATGTACATAAAACTTTAGGATTGCCTTTTCCACATTTAGTATAAAGATCCATTACTACAAAATTGTTGGCTCTCTAGCATGTGATTTACTGGAGTATTATTTCAAAAGTCATAAAAGTAAAATGTAAGATTATTTTTGAGCAATTTTCAAAACTTATCTTTTGAGTTTGCCAATTTAAAATAACTGTCTTATTTTATGGCTATCCATCTTTAAAATTAACTCCAATCACTGGATCTTGACACTTTTCTCATACATAAAAATAAGTGCCATCTTAATGAATTTTAAAAGTAAAAATCATTTTTTATAGTCATTGAGATATCAGGGTCAAAGCAGTATTTGGCCATAAACTGTCATACTAGAGTTTTGTTAATTTGGGTTATTTTCTAAATTTAATAACTTGCTATTTTAAAGGAAACTTACAGGGTTTTATAAATGAATTAGATTTACTAGATTGTAGTCTATGGTGTAGACTATTACTGTAGTCATACTGGGTTTCTGACATATTTTAGAAAGCTATGGTCAGCAATTATATAGAGTTGGCCAAAATAGCCCTGATGTTATTTGACATTTGGTATTATTTAAATATCAACAAAATGGAGACTGCATAAAAGCATAGTTGTAATGAAGATGAAAATCCTACTTGTAGGGCATCAAGTATATTCCACTAGTAACAGATAAATGACTTACTTAGGGACATCACTTCTACTGGTATTGGTACATTTGAACATGAAAAATACAGATATAATCTTTAGTTATATAGTCATGCCCTGAATGCTGCATGTGAACACTCATTTGTCCACAAGGAGACCTTGTATTTATATGGCAGCCCATGTTTCACAAAAACACATGCATGTGTATGTGTATTTTACTTATTACCAACCATTCAACATCTCTGTAAATCATTTTCCTTTCAATAAAATTGTTATAAATATCTATTATCTGGCCTTTTGCCACAAGAGAAGTACATACTCCTTGTCACATTACCTAAGAATCTTGGATGGAGCCTCTGGGCATCCTTGACTCAGCAGAGCCTTGCTGTTCCTGCAAACTCAGATGAAACTTGGATTTCAAATTCAGTGATTCTTCATTGAGATACAATGAACTTTCCTAAATTTATTTTCTTCAGCATTTGCACCTACACTGAACTAAACTGCATCATTTCATTTTATGAGGAGTCTAATCTGCATTAATTACAGTCAATGATGAATATTAAGTATAGACTATATTCCAGATAATAAGATTTTTATGTTACATGATAAGGCTAAAGACTTATATGTGAAAGTCACTTCTGTTTTACCAAGATGGTGAAAATATACTGTGGATAAACTGTTACTACAATCATCTCAAAGCTATTTTAAGAAACTTACAGTGTGTTGAAACATTAAGTCACGGAATCACCTTGATGCTGTGCTTTGATTCACATTGATCTGAGAAGCCAAGAATTTTGGGTAAAATATATGTGATCTGAAATCTTCCAAAGTTATAAAAGAATATGATCCATGTTGTCAATAATTTCCTGTTCTACGAGAAGGAAAAACAACGTGGGGTCCTTTTGAAATTCTAGAATTAAAACATTTAAAGACCTACAGACTTCAAATTTTAACAATCCAACAATTTTCTTTCATTGTGGAAAATGGTTTAAAACAAGGTGCGAATACTGCTTACTATCATATTTTTTTTTCTTCTCTGTAAGATTTCTAAGCTGGCATTCCATGTGATAGCTCTGGTGAGGGGAAACAAGTTCAGTAGCAATATAAAATATGATCAACTTAAGTTTAGGGATGAGGTGTATCTCTGAATATGTTTTAGGAAGAATTTACACCATCTAAAAATCCTAAAGATCATTGAAGTAAATATGGAAATTTGTATATTACACATCAATGCACCTAAAGGAGGGCTCCAATTATTAAACAGAAAGTGCATTTTAACAGAAATGTAAAGTATACAGAACACTGAATATATGTAGATGATATACATATTATATAATGTATATGTGTATATAAAACAGTTGACAATCATTTCCAAATTTTATAAGTTGCTCAAATAATTTGGTTTTCACTCAACAAATAGAACAAATACCCTAACAATTATATCACTGCTCAAAAAGCACACTGATTGCTCACAAAAACTCCCAACCATAAACTTAAAGGCATCTTTAAATAACACAGAAATCTGTAGAGGCCATGATACTTTTGCTGACCATATCCTTAAAAAAAAAAATCTCTACATTGTTAGGTTCAAATTTTTACATGTGAAAATAAAACTTTCTTCAAGTGTCACTTAGTGTAAGGTTTTTACAGGATAAGGCACTCTCTCAGTCTGCATGCCCTTGCTTCCAGCCTAACCTTAATCTGTACACATCAAATTAGCATCACATGTCACTGCAACAAAAAGAATAACCTCAGAAAGAGAGTGCGAGGTATTGAGTGCTCTTCTGAATTAAAGACAGAAACAAAGGGGAAAAAACTTTCTGCATACACTAGAATGGATAGCCCTATACCTCTATGATTAAAAAATGTGGCACTGAACAAATTTTTGATATTAGGTTTAGATGGTAGTAAAACTTGTAGCACTGACATTAAAATTCTGCTTCTGTAAGAAATGTGATTAAGAAGGAAGGCCAATACTACTGTTTTCTTCTAGTAAGAGTAAATGACTCTTTACTAATTAAATACTGAACTAAATGACAGCTTTATAAAACTATTTCAAGTATTCATTATCACAGTGAAAATGTAAGACCATGTTAAAATGAATGATTTGAAAATTCTTTTGATGAAAAAGGCAAGGGTACCAAATCAAAACATATACAAAATGCTTCAACGCATTTCTTTATGTAATATGAATAGAAAGATTATCCATAAAAAGTTAGAAAAATTAAGATAAATTATATATACCTTCCCAACCATATTTATATAAAAATTCAGAATAGTGTACTGTTATTTTAATGTACACAATAAAAATGCCTGGATTTGGCAGATAACTTCTATCTGTGCGTGTATTTTCTCAGTAAATTTGTTGAATTGCTTTTGAAAAGTTTTATTTTAATGATTAACTCATTGAATCATCAATAAACCCAGCTGATTGGAACCACATAACTTCTATCTGTGCATGTATTTTCTCAGTAGGTTTATTCGTTGAATTGCTTTTGAAAAGTTTTATTTTAATGATTAACCTCATTGAATCATCAATAAACCCAGCTGATTGGGACCCACTGTGGTTCCATCCTCAGTTTTTCTATGGCAGTTTGTAGTTTCTCAAAGGCTTTGTCTAGATTGTCATTTATGATGATCAAATCAAAGTAGTGGTTGTATGCTCTCTGAATCCGTGCACTTTCATCCACTGTTTTCTTCAAGTCAGAGTCCTAGGAAAGAGTTTTAAAAGAAAAAATGTTTGTATGATAATGTACATTTTTTACTTGCTTAAACAAGTAAATTGGATATTTTTAAATTGTGATGGTAATCATCAAAATCTAACCTGTAGTGTTAAAAAAGACATTACTATCTGTGCATGTCTTAGTCTTTCCATGTATATTCATGTTTTAATCTGTGAGCATTTTGTATCTTCTGTTTTGTTATTACTAGGATAAGATTGTTAGTTAAAAGACCTATAACATTTAGGTAAATCTAAAGCATTAAAATAATTATTGCAGGTGACTGGTTTCTAGCTCAACTGTATCTTTTTTGAAAAAATTTTAAAAATGGTGCTGAATTGAACCCAGAGTCTTTATACTGAGCTATATTACCTACTCTTTTTATTTTTTAATTGTGAAAGGTTTTAAGTTGCCAAACTACTGAGGCTGAATCTCAACTTGGAACCCTTCAGCATCACAGGCTCCTGAGTGCTGGGATAACAGGCAGGTGCAACCAACCCCCAATCGCAAAAGATTTTTATTTTATGGCCTATGTAAATCATGGAACCAACTTTAGTGGCTGTTAAGTTCAAAACCAATTTTCTACCTATTTGTAAGAAAGTCAGAGAACCTTAAAAGAATGTTTTGAAGACTAACTACATGCTGTCTACCCACCACCAGAACATATACACCATACACTTTAGTCCTAGTTCTAGTCACTTTTGGAAAGATGTAGGGAGAACCTAAGTAAAAGCAAGTAAGGCTTTTCATAAATTCCAAGTGTTTGAAATTTCACTGTATTTTTATATACTCTACATATTTTTCTTTTTTTTTTTTTTTTGGTACCAGAGATCGAACTCTGGTCCTTGCCCTCGTGAGGCATGCGGTGGAACCACTGAGCTAAATCTCCGGCTATACTCTACAAATTTTTAATGGGTTCCTAGTAAAGTGACTACCATGTTTCAGAACTGGTAGACATAACAATGAATAAGAGAGAGAGCTGTTGCTTCCTGGTTGGGGAGACAGATAAAAGACAAATGAACATAAAAAATTTGCAAGTTTATTAAGTAGTATTAAAAAAAAAAAACCAAACCAGGCACAAAGGATTTTAAAAGATCTACTTAGAGTAACTGGAAAGACATAAGCAAATAACAGTTAAGCATATAGTAGGAAAAAGAACATCTTTAGGCAGAGAGCAGCAGTGTAAATTCAAGAGGAGGGAAATGGCCCAAGTATATCTGAGATTAAAAGACCTTGAGTGGGAATGTGATGTAAGTGCATAAATGAAAACTGATGGTAGTGATCCATATCACAATAAACTGCTGCCTGGATGATGATGATGGTGGCAGAGGAGATAGGAAAGACACCAGTCTGGAAATTTACTCTAGTGTTAAAATCATCAGGATTAGCTGATGGGCTACATGTGAAAAACAAGAAAATGAATGGATGAAGGCTAGCTCTTACGTTTCTTGAGTAAATAGGTGTCTGTAGAAAATACAGAGTTGAGTAGTAGGGAGTGAGCATGACTTTTGAGAAAACAAAGTATTCTATTTTGTTTATGACAAGTTTCAGATGTCTGGGAGACATCCAAAGTAGAGATGTAAGTAACTGACACATCTGGGCCAAATAAATCATCAGCGTAATAATGGATGTCACTGGTTTCACTAAGGGAAAGTATAGAGAGAGAAGTGGGTTCAGCCACTAGGCCCACAGTACCCAAATACTTACTAATACTTCCACTGAGACTTCTAAGTAAATTTGGCACAACTAAAATACTCAGGATCATAGATATATGAACAGGTCATAGTTCATCATTTTTTTTTTTTTTTTTTTTTTTTTTTTTTTTTGGTACCGGGGATTGAACTCAGGTCCTTGCACTTGGGAGGCCAGCAGAACCACTGAGCCAAATCCCCAGCCCAGTCATAGTTCATCTTGAAAGCAAGTTTTACTTACAGTTATTATTAATCTGATTAGTTTAAAAAAAACTTTATAATAAAAGTGGAGTATGCTATACAGGTAGAAAAAGGAACAGAGAATCCAAAGAGTGATCTCTAGAACATGCTGACTTTTGAAAAATACAGGGAAACTACTATGTATAATAAGTTACCTTTTATATAAGAAATGAAAGAAGTACAGTATGTACAGACATACTTCCTAATGGTAAAAACAGTTACCAGAAATGGCTACGTATATAGGTGGAAGGAAAAGAGTGGTAAAGATAAAGAAAAGCTAGATTTCTTTTTAAGATTTACATTGGAATTATGAAAATGTTATATATAATTATATGACAAAATTGAAATGAAAAAATAATACATAAAAATCAAAACAAAATGAAATAAACTTGTGTTCAAGTTGATGGCTTAGTCACACAGAAAGGAATTATTTCAGTGATTTTAAAACTAAATAATTTGACATCTAGTGGGATATATCCTCAGAGCAACTAAAAAAGCCTGAAACTTAAAACTTTTCAATAGTCATATTGTTAATATTGACACTGCTATTCAGAAATTATATCTGTGTTACTTCATTTATATTTATATAGGTTTAAAATAAGAAATCATTATCAGGAACCAAGACTTTCTGCCTAAGAGGGCAAAAGGGCAATGTGTGGTCAAAATACTGAAGTAACACTAATATAAAATTTGCACTGGAACTATCAAGTTGAACTAATGATGTATATTTTCTTAAAAAGAAAAATATATCCTCTCTCTGAACACTGAAAGGTCCAGAAACAATGTCCAACTGAGTTGAATGCATACCCTCAGTGACTAAATTATCTCTAAATATCATTTCTCACTAAAAATTCAGGTGTTGGGATGGCTGGTTCCATTTCTGGACCAGGAAATGTGTTCTACAAAGAAGCAAAGAATTATCAAAGACTACTGGGATTGTATTAAAGATATTGAGAAGCCAATCTGAACAGGCTCCTACTAGCTGAATAATCTGAACATCAAAAATAAGTGATCTAAATATGCAGAGAGGGAAGTAAGTACTACTACAAGTGACTTTAAAATAGAAGGATAGTCTAAAGATAAAAAGAATTGTGGGGGGGCTGTTCATAGTAATCATACCCACTGGTGGAAGTGTTGATATACTTATTCTCAGTATTTACACGATGAATAAAGCAAGAGAGCTATTATGTGATAATCTAATGTGTCTAGTGTTTATGAGAATTCTGACACTCAGCCTAAGAAAAATTAGACATATAAAAGAATGGGAAATAATATGAATTTATAATATAGTATGCAGTATGAATTTATATTTTATTTAAACATACAAACAGAAATATATCCTAGGTCTGTGTAAAAAGGCCTAGCTAGCAGCATTGATTAACCATATGACAATGTGCACTTCTTGTATTATGTCTTAAAATACTATTTACTCTAAAAGGAACCTGGGCATCTTGGAAAAATGTTGGGGCTTCTTGGCCTACAATTGGAAATGTGTAAGATGAACATGGAACATCTCTCATACTAGACTGGAAGAAAGCTATTCAAAACTATCAAGCTCATGGAAAAAAAGGTCTTAAAAGCAGTGTAGTGGCATAAGCTTATAATCTCAACATTTGGCTGAGGTAGGAGGATCATGAGTTCAAGATCATCCTGAGCTACACAGCTGGTTAGCTAGTTCAAGGAAAGCATGGACTATCCAGTGAGACCTTCTCTCTCTCTCTCCTCTTTCTCTCACACACATTATTAAAAAAAGAGTCCAAAAGTTCTTAAGTGTTAATTAAAATGAGCTTCTACTGGTCAAAGATAGGACAGTTTGAACAGCAATAAAAAGAATAAATGCCAATAAAGGAAAGCTTATCAAATAAGTTTAAGAACCCATGCACCACAAACATAAAAACAAACAAGCCTCATTGGTCACCTGTCTCTCTTGGAGGCTCTGAGAGGACAAACCTATTATTTTGAAAACTGATCCATAAAGGAGCATTATTAGACAAGTGCCATGCCTTTCCTATATGAATTGCACCTCACAGTAATCAACTAGTTCATGAGGAAAATAATAGTATATAAAGGACATTGGATTGATAACTTAAGAGTAGTACCACTTTGCCACTCCAAAAAAAAGAATATCTGATCCAGGCAAAAAAAAAAACAAAACAAAAAAACTTGCAGAAATCATTAGATGAAAAATTACCTGGGGAACTTTTAAGTCAGGCAAACATCTGAACCCACTGCTTAGCCTTATCATAAAATATGGCACAACCTGACATAAACTCAGGATGTAATAAAATGTTCCCTTTTACTTATTCTACTTTATGAAGTAGTCCTTGAAGTTGTCCTTTGTGTTTTTAGTTGCACTGTCCTGTCTGCCTTGCTGTCCTGAATCAATTCAAATACAGTGGTATCTCGGGTCATGAACTTAATTTATTCTAGTTGCAGAACTTGCAACCAAAATCGTGGCAAGAACTAAGTTCATGAAATGAGGTACTACTGTATTTACCTTTGTGGCTGTTACAGCTTGTATCTAGATGTTCCCTCAAAGCCTCATGAGATCATAGGTGGGGCTTTTGGGAGCTCACTGGATCACTGGTGTGTGATACTGGATTAGTCCATGATAGGTTTATTAACTGGATGTGATGTTGGGTGGTAAAGCCTGGTGGGAAGAGGTAAACTATTGTAGGCATGGCGTGGAAGGTGGGAAAAAACTACCCAACAGGACTAGAGATATTTATATTGAGCCAGTAGTAGTACCTATTCCACTAGAACAGAAAGTCTTATTACTAACAGGCCATTTTCTTTAACACTGTAGAATAACAGACTGTAGATTGAGAACTACTTGGGTCTTATCTAACAAATTTTAAAAGCAAGACCTGAAAGGATTAAACTATTCCAAATAACTGCACCTCAGAACAAAACTCATAATGTCTGTAAAAAAAAAATTATCAAGGTTGCAAAGAAGCAGAAAAGCATGACCCAAAATGAGAAAAATAAGTCAATCAAAGCAGACTCAAGACGGGAGTGGTGGCACATGTTTGTAATCCCAGCACTCTGGAAACTGAAGCAGGAAGATCTCTGTGAGTTTGAGGCCACCCTGGGCTACATAGTGAATTTAAGGATAGCTTGAACTACATAGTGAGAGTCCATCTCAAAAAAAAAAACACCAAGGTGTGGGGGGAGGGGCAGATGAGAATGTTACAATTAATATACAGTGAGGACATTAAAAAGTTGTAACTATTTTTTCACATATTCAAAATGTTAAGTAGAGACATGGAGCAACTTGAAAAAGAACTAAGTGAACTACTAAGATCTGATTTCAAGGTATATTATCAGCTATATGGTGGGAAGAGGTGTGTGTGGGGTTTGGTGTGGCTACCAACAAGCACAGGGAAAAATGTGATGATGGACACCTTCATTATTTTGTTGTTTTTTTTTTCAGCTTTAATGAGTTTATTGGTACATTTTAGGGATACAGTACAGTTATATTCATTGTTGGGATCTTGTACCTCTACATGACAAGTCTTGGTTCTCATTTTTTCCCCCTTGTCATTCATTATTTTGGTTGGGGTAGTTTCACGAGTGCAAACATGACTCCAAACTTACCAAACTGGACACTTTTAGATATGTATAGATAATTTTATGTCAATTATAACTCAAGCTGAAAAAAAAGACTTAAAAGACATTAAGTAAGTTCAATATGACCAATTAAGTAAATCTTCATCTCATTCTTTAAGATCATCTTCAACTCATTCTTTTTTTTCTATTTTTTATTTTTTGCAGTCCTAGGGATTGAACCCAGGGCCTCATGCATTTTAGGCAAACACTTTATCCTTGAGTTACAGCCTTATCCACTGCGTTGATCTTATTTGGATCCTGATGTAAATAAATCATCTATAAAATATTATAAATCTTAGAGAAATTAAAATATAGACTGCATACTATTAAATGTTGCTTAATTTTTTGCACACTAATAGTGCTACAAGCATGTTTTCAAAAGTACTTTAAGATAAATACTAAGGTATTTATGGATAATATAAGATCAAAGGTTTGCTTTTTCAAGGTTATGTAAGAAGTGGAGAGAGGTCTAACTGAAACAAGATTGGTCTTGTGGTGGGAACCTAAAACTAGATGGTGGGAACATAAGAGTTCATTTCTTCTCTCTTTTGAACATATGATCTTAAAATTTCTATAATATGAAAAAAGAGGGAGAAAAATAAAGCATGTAGCAGAAATCAACAACTACTTCTATCAGTAATAAACTATATGAGGAATAGGTTTGTTAATGGTCTTAGGACTATTTTCTCATTAAAATGAGACAGCTGGATTAATATTTACATTTTAATACTGATTCTTCTAAAAAGGGAACTATGCTTTTGGTTTAAAATAAAGTGAAAGGAGGAGAGAGGAAAGGGGGGGGAAAAGGGTCAGTAGGTGTTATGTACATGTACCAACTCCCCATGATGAATGTAATCATTATGTACTGCAAACATGTACCAATAAACACTAAAAAAAAAAAGTCAACAAGGATTCTCAAGTAAAAGCAATACTGTTCTAACAATACCTGCTGAATAAATTTTTTCTTCTATAATATCTTAGTGTGTTTATTTCCTAAGTATGAATAGATAGGATTAAACATATCCGAAAGAAAGGAAAAAGAAACAATTTAGCTAAAATAAAATTATTAGATGGAAAAGAAGTGTTCACCGTCAAAAGCTTGGTAGTGATTCCTGCATCCACCACAGCCTTGTGCATGGCGCGTAATGTCTCTAGCTCTGGAGCAGCAATAAACACCACATAGGGCATGAATTCGGATGTCCTCAACACCTTCAGTGCCTGTGTAGAATAATTACAAACCAATTTATTTAATATTGGTACTTGAAGTCTGCTATCTTTTAGTATAAATCAAATCTATCTGCCTTATTTCTAAAGATTAAGGACATATTTTACTACCTGTCTCCTGCTTTTCTGATGCAGTAGTGTTTTCCTAAAACAGTGATACACTTATTTTACTGTAAACTCAGTCTCACTACTCTTTGTTCTCCTTGAACAAAAGAAAGTATAAAATTTAGTGATCCCCAAATTATTATGAATGACATAAGCTCTTACTGTAAGAATCTCTTAATACTGAAAAAGTAAAAATAACCTCAGGGCTGATTAGCTGGAGAGTGAATAAATGAAAAAACCATGCTATGAAATATTATGCAGCAGTTACATAGAAAGAAAATAGCTCTTCAGTGACTAACATGAAAAGAGCTTCAAGAAATACTGTTTATCAAAAAACTAAAGAATCTGTATAAACCTCTTCCATTTATGTAAAAAGTAAAAGCACTTGCAAGTGCCAGGTCCTGAGTTCAATCCCCAGTACCAATAAAAAAAGAAAAATGAAAAACAAAAAATCCATTAATTTTTACACATTTGTTTTTAAGGCACACTAAAATTATAAGAAATGACTAATACCAAATATTTATATTTATCTCTGAGAAGAGAAGTGAGGTTGGACTGAGTGTAGAGGGGTAAGAAAGGATGAATGAAACAGAAAGGGGCTATAAGAACGAAATGAATATTGTGTGTGTGAGATGGGAGAGTGATTTTATTCTTTTAGATTATAGCCATACTGAGTTTTAAATTTAGCATTTCCTAACATAGGTATTTATTATTTGAAGAAATAAATACTAATACTAATAAATACAGCCTCTGGTGACTGACTGAATATTTATTTAAGCTAGCTAGCTAAATAAGGTTCTCTATCACCAAAAGATAAGGAAAAGAGCCACCTTCCCACTTTGAAAAAACAACATTCTTACACTCCCCCCACACATACACACGAACAGAACCTTATCAGGAAAGAAAATTTTAAAAATATCTCTGGAATCCATGCAGCTCACTTGTGGGTTGACATCCAAAATACAAGTCCGTCCAGTTTGGACAACTTCAAGGATAGAGTCAATCTTAGTTCCATAGAGATTTCCTTCATATTCCCCATGTTCCAAATACTTTCCAGCTTTAATATCTGCTTCCATTTCTGATCTTGACACAAATTTATATGCCTGGCCATCTTTTTCATCTTCCCTTGGTTTCCGTGAAGTAACTAAATAAAATAATGTTGAGAATTTGTACAAAGAGATTGCAGGGTATAAAAAACAGTACTAAAATATACAAGGTGACCTCTGATTTAGAAGTGTTTAAGAGGTAGTCCTCCACATAAAATTTGTCTCAAAAGAATGCTTTTTAAAAAGTCCTTTTGAAATTCAAAAATGTTTGTCCAGAAGCAGAGCCTTAAATGTTTCTCTTAAAATCTTAAGTACAAGGCCTGCTGCAAATATCTTTGTTATCTGACTAGCAGTCCCCTTTTTTCTTAAAAACCCTATTTCCTTTCTTTCTACTGTAATATTTCCTAATTAAGTACCCAAAAGGTGAGCAAAGTTCACTTAGTTGATAACTATCAATTTTACATAGTTGATATAGTTTTATATAGTTTACATAGTTCTACTCACAAATGATCTATCCTTTATCCCATCTAAAGACCTAAACTTTCTTTTGGCTTACTGCTTACTGATATTCCCAAATAATAAATGTTCTACTTTATACTGGAGATAAGTGAAGTTACCAACCAAATTATTATTATCTTCTTGTTAGCCTCCTCTACTCTGACCAGACATGTTTCCTGAATGGAAAGGAACAATCCAAGCCAAAACTCAGAAGAGGAGGATTCTTTTACACATTTTAGAGTTTTGAATACTTGGTCTATGCTTGGAGTGGACTACTACAATCTTACAAACTGTTGCAAAGATGTACTCTCCGACAACTCTGTTAACAGTAGCTTTGAGGAAGATAAGTTGTTTGTTATGTACTGTTTCAAGCTTGGCACTCATTTGAGCTTGACTGGATGAGACAAAAAATATTAAACTTCCAGTAAGCACTTATTAAAGTAGAATATCTGACTAAATCATGAAGTACATAAAATTAAAATTAGAAGTAATCCAAATTAAGTCGACAGAGTTTTTACTATTGAAAATGAATATAAGGCACAAAGAAAAATTTGAATTTCAAACTGAAGTTCAAGAAAAAATGAACTTCAAGCTCAAGCCCAAAAATAAGGATTAATTTATAATGTGATCATTATGCACAACAAGATTCCATTTTGTCCCTTGTTTTCTGGCTCACTTTCAAGGTTAATCATTCTAGACCACTATGGACTATGGACCACTTTTGACTAACTTCACTTATCTTCAAGATGCTGTCATGGCTTTCCATACAAAATTATGTGATCTAGTCTTTTGGAATTATTCAACAAAGATGGTATGCTAAATCTCCTAAGGCACCTTTAAATTTTCCAAATAAGTACATACTGGGACTTAGCACAATATCTATAAACATAATTTTAGAAGACTGATGTTTCTTTGTGAAGCTCTACAGTGAAATCATATATGAAATGTGCTGCTTTTTAGAAGCCTTTTTTTTTCTGGTACCAGGGATCAAACTCAGGTCCTTGCGCTTGCAAGGCAGGCAGCAGAACCACTGAAGTAAATCCCCGGCCGAAATGTGCTGCTTTTTAAAAAACATGTAACACACATCTACATAGATGTCACCTCAAACACATTGATACAGTTTTGTTTTAGTGTATAAGTCAGTTTTAATTACAACCCCATTCTCTATTGAGTGTTAAAAAATTAAAAGAAAAAAAAAAGAACCCCACTCCTATATTTCCATGTTTAGATACCACTTTTCTATTCCTAGAACAGAGAGATGAGAACTGACTACAATTGATTCCTTAGGCTTATATGCTGAACAACTAAATGTGATTTTGTAGAAGTAAATTTTGGGGACTGGAAAAATTACAAATTTTAGTAGGAAACAATCAGAAATAATTCATTTGTTATTAATGTTAAAAGCAAACAGGACTTATAAAATAGCTTATTCTCCCAAATAACAAAGTTTTTCTATTTTAGGGTCATTTTTTATGTATTAAAAATTAAACTGTCTTAATGCAGTGATATTCATATCCTTTGACAATGTGTAGTACAATATTGTGTATCAAAAATTAGGCAAGGAGGCTGGGGATTAAGCTCAGTGGTTGTGCTGCCTGCCTCACAAGCATGAAGTCCAGAGCTTCGTCCCCAGTACCAAGAACAAAACAAAATAAAAAACAATTAACAAAAAAATTAGGCAAGGGGCAGGGATTTAACTCAATGGCACTATGCCTGCCTTGCAAGTGCAAGGTCCTGAGTTTGATCTCCAGTACCAAAAAAAAGGGCAAGATCTGGCAATCCTATTATTAGGTATGGGTATATACCCAAAGGAAATAAAATCAATGTGCCAAAATGACATTTGTATTCATTCCCATGTTCAATGCAGCCTTATTCATCAGCCAAGATATTATATTGCAGCCTTATTCATCAGCCAAGATTTGTTAATAACTTAAATGTCCATCAATGAACCACTAAGTTTAAAAAAAAAAAAAACATGGTAAACAGAGCAAAATACTATTGAATCTTAAAAAGAGAAAGGTTGATGTATGGATGGATATATGTAAGTTTTTCTACATAAAAATTAAGATTTGAATCTCCACTCAAAGGTCTGTCAAAAGTAAAATAGTGAGTGTATCTTCCTGGAAATTAATTTGGCACTAGGCAATCAAGAAATGAAAACACTTACATTACTCTTGATCTAATACTTGTACATTTTGTAGTTATATATTCACATTTTATCACTTTACAGAAATACAGCAGTAATGATTTTTTTAAAGTACCAAGTTTCATACATATGTGGGAATATTAAGAAGCTATTAAGATTAACTGTTTTAAAATTTAGCATTTTAACCATTTTTTTATTTAATTTTTTTCCTGGTACCAATTGAATTCAGGACCTTGCACTTTTAAGGCAGGCATGGCACCACTGAACTAAATCCCTGGCCCAATTTTTAAAAGAATCACTATGTTGTTTTCTTCCCTGAGCACACCATTTTACATTTCTAGCAGTAATGTGCAGAAAAATTCCAATATTTTTGCACCTTCACCAACACTACTATGATTTAAAAAAATAAAGAAGCCTTCCTAATGGGCATGAAGAGGTACATCATCATGGTTTTAGTTTACATTACTTAATGAATAATGATGCTGAGCAGCTTTTCATGTGTATATTGGCCATTTTTATGTCTTTTGAACAAATGTCTATTCAAAATGCCACTCTAGCCATGTAATTGGTTAGCATGAGGTACATATATTCAAAATGACAGTAAAACATACCAGAACCTATGGGACACAACAGAACAGTCATAAGAGGGCAATTTACTGCAGTGAATGCCCATGTCAGAAAAACAGAAAGAGCTCAAACAAATAACTTACTCATACACCTCAAGGTCCTAGAAAATCAAGAACAATGCAAATCATATATCATAACCAATTAGGTTTCATCCCAGGGATACAGGGATGGTTCAACATATGCAAATCTATAAATGCAATATACTACATAAACAGAAGCAAGGACAAAAATCATATAATATTCTCAGAAGATGCTGAAAAAGCATCTGATAAAATCTACCATTTATTCATGATAAAAAAAAACCTTGAAGAAAATAGGTATAGACAGTCTTTATCTCAATCTGATAAAAGCCATCTACAACACATCAATGGCCAAAAGCATTAAATGGAGAAAAGGTGAAAACTTTTCCTCTAAAATCAAGAACAGGACCAGAATGTCTGCTATAAATCCCATTCATTAGTTCATGAAACATTAGCCAGAGCAATCTGGCAAAAGAAGTAAACAAAAGGGAAATGGATAGAAAAGGAAGAAGTTAAATTATCATTATTTGTAGATGATATGATTTTCTATATATAAGACACCAAAAACTCTACCAAAAGAATCCAAGAATAACCAAATTGAGTAGTAGAGCAGAATACAAAGAAAACACTAAAAAACGAGTGGCATTCCTATTCACGAATAATAAACTGAGAGAATTAAGGAAACAATACCTTTCACAATAGCATCAAATAAAATTAAATACTCAGGAATTAACCTAACCAAGGAAGTAAAAGTCCTCTACAATGAAAACTACACTCTGAAAAAGATCAAAGAATATATCATAAAATGAAAAGATATCCCTGGATGGGCAGAACCAATACTGTCAAAATGGCCATACTTCCAAAATTGATATACAGATTTAGTATAATCCTAATCAAAATAACATTTCCTACAGAACCAGAGAAAACAATCCTAAAATTTATATGGAACCATAAAAGATCTAAAATAGCAAAAGCAATTCTGGGCAACAATGGCAAGGCAGGAGCCATCATAATCCTGCACTTTACATTACACTACAAAGCTACAGTGATAAAAGCAGCATGGGGTAAGCTAAACAAAACATAAACAAACACCCTGTGGACAAATGGAATTAGAGGATGCAAAAGCAACTCCAGGCACACTAAGGTAACTGATCTTTGACAAAGGGGCCAAATACTTTCACTGGAGGAAAGCTTCTTTGACAAGTGGTGCTGGGAAAATTGGCTATCCACATACCAAAGACTGAACCTAGACACCCATATTATTTATTTCTCACAAAAAAACTAAAATCTAAATCTAAACATTAAAACAGAAACAATCTGTTGGAAGACAAAATATATAAAACTCATATCTGGTAGATAGGATGTTTTAGGTAGAGTGACTAACAAGAGCAAAAAGGCATGATTGATAAGTCTGAAGAGGAAATTAGTGTTAAACAAGGAAAAGGTATGCAAATTTGATCTGAACAATGATTTTACTTCTATTATGAATTCTATCACTAGAAGTTTTTAATGCTTTATGTATATAAACAGAAGTTGAATGGAATTTTAACTGTAGTCCAGTAATTTTGTTCCAGTCCCAAGTAGGTCTAGGAACGATAAGGATCTGTATTCTCATCTTTCAGAGTTTTAATAAAAGTGGCTAATCTGGTCCTGGAGTCATTTATTTAGCCACTTCTACCTTCTTTATATTCAAAAAGAGTCACAGGTTCAGGGAGATGACATTGCTTTCTTCTTATCCTTTCTCCACAGTAAAATTATTCTCCGAGGAGAATTCTGAAGGCCCATGATGATATGTCATAGAAGTCTG